GGAGCAAACCTGGGGCCCTTCACCCGTTAGAGAATTACTGTTTGGTACAAACGTCCCTGCAGCAAACCGAGAGGCGCCACGGTGGGTTTCGTTGCCGGGACGGATTTACATTGTTCAGTCTCGCCTGGTTTACAGCACACAGCGCAACGCAAAAACACGCGGTTCACACTTACATTTTCAAGCAAAACTTACCACTGCTAGGCTCATTGTGGTATCGACTGACGTAATTATTCATGTCATCCTCTGAAAGAACAAAAAGGTGCCGTAAGACCACCCTTTGTTTGATTAAATGGTTGAAATTCCACCCCGGGACAGGCTCCCCTCGGCCCTGTATGCCCAGAGCACCACCTCTTGTGTACTTTTAGGCCAGAAGACCAGGTGTAATTTGAAGACACGCGACACCCCCCACCCGCCGTGTGGCCGCAGCCAAGATAGGGACTATCATTTGTTGCAGTTCTTTACGGGACCAGCCTGGGAACGAGGCGTTCTGGGTTCAGCCTCCTCTATCACCCGTCAGTATTTCTTTTCGCGTGGTCCAACACAGCTCCTCATTTTCATCGACTATCCCCCAACCCCAGGACCTACGCGGTTGCCATGCGGAACAGCAGTGACATAACCGCTGCTCTTGGGCAGCTTCCCTGTGTTTCCGCGCTCTCTCTTTCCTTCTGGTGTTTTTAACTTGCCCCTGTGAAAGCCAGTCAACTTGAAAAAAGAGGAAACAACATCCAGTACGTTTCCAGAAGGCGGGCTAGAAGTCTCCCTGTTCTGCCTTGGGTGACATGGCCAACAGGAGCCGCAGGACGAGTTTACCAAAGCAGGTGGAAACGCCTCTCCAGCTCAGCACAGACGCTGCTGCGGGACACAAAAACCAGAGCCGGACGAGCCAGCTCTTTGGCAATCCGTGCAGTTTTACCGTGTAAAGTTCTGCTTCTAAAAAATAACGTTGTCGTCTTTTCATTCCGAAGGAATAAAGAGAGTGGTTGTGTTGGTTATTAGATATGTAATACATAGCATGGTATTAACATTACATTTTCTGTTGGCTTAAAATAGTCTATGAAGGTTTTGGCAAGTCAAGGTGTAGTACTACGCTTGTAAAACATACCGTTACTGAAGTTCAGGTGTAGCGCTCGTGTAAGATCAAAATGAAGCCATGCCCACAAAAGGGAAAGCAGCAGCTATATTGCACATACAGCTTTTAGATGCTGCAGGTGACACTGGGATCTCCTGCTATCTTACAGAAAAGCAGAATGTTTTACAGTTGCTGAAAAAGACAGTAACAAACTCCTCTCGTTGAAAACATACACGAGAGCTACACCTGAACTTCAGTAACGGTAAGATCAAAATGAAGCCATGCCCACAAAAGGGAAAGCAGCAGCTATATTGCACATACAGCTTTTAGATGCTGCAGGTGACACTGGGATCTCCTGCTATCTTACAGAAAAGCAGAATGTTTTACAGTTGCTGAAAAAGACAGTAACAAACTCCTCTCGTTGCAATTCCGAACGGAACGCAAATACTGTTGCTAAGAAAACAGTATCGGCAATCCAGGAAGAATTTCAAGCTCACGAGCAACCTGACCTGCCCAATTTGCGGTGTATCGCGTGCTCTAAAAGCATTCTCTCCTTTTAAGTGCTCTTTTTGATACCGCCTTTCAGAAAACCATGCTCATCCCTTTGAGCCAGATTTCCTTCGTCCCCCTGGGTCTCTGTGGCTACAGTCCTGCCTTTTCACAGCACATTGCGGTTTGCAGGTGAAAGAAACAGATGTTTTCTGGGGAACGCTTTCTCCACACAACAAGACCCAAACCACCAAGCACTCTGTACCTGAAATAGCTGCTCTCCTAAGAAGGCAATCTAACCTGACACTGAAAGGCAACGTGGTTGTTTCCCTGGTTTCGTTGGATCTTAAAAGCTTTTTTGGCCCTTGTTGATCTTTAAATGCCTGCAGTCAGAGGTGTGCTCTGTGCTAATGTCTGAGTTTAAAAAAGAGGCCTCAGAGTAGCTCAAGGCAATGCCGCTGAATTAGGAGTACATTGCAAGGCTTTTCAGCTATCTGCTACTAAAATACACTTCATTTCAATCATGCATAATTTATACTCTAAATGCCACCAAACCTGCCAGCCCGCATAGATACAGGTTCTTCTTCAGGCATGGAACCTTCAGCTACCGTCAGAGAACACCGGCATATCTGTAGTTCTGGTAATGCACTTTCATCAAATTTAACTTAGACTCTAATTTTAAGCAGAGAAATGAAGAAACCAGAACTACAGTCTGGCCTGGACAAGGGCATGTTCTGCATGTGGGGGTCGCCCCTCCTCACCACCTGGCAAAAGCACACGGCCGCACTCTGCGCAAGGAATGGGGGACCGGGGTGCTCTCAGTTCCTCTGGCTCTCATTAAAGGCTGCCCCAAACGCCACGACAACTTGGGAAAGTTACTTGTCTGCTTTTCGCGTCTTACGGCAAGGCTCCAATCACGTCTTCCTTAGGACCGCATACCGTCACGGCCCCAGCCATCTGTCTGTCAGCTAACAGACCGTACCAGGGCACTATTTTCAAATCCATCAGTTGCTTACAAACCAATATGTAGACTACTCTTCATACCAGCAGAGGCCGAGGCCAAACGCCTGAAAAGGAAGTCCTGAAATGCACTCACTCAGATCCCTTTGAGCGGTGAGGAAAGTCATGGGTTGTCCCGGCTGTGTGTGCGACCACTTGCACACAAGGTTGGGAGAGCTGCCGAGCTGCCTACTTGCCTGTTATTATGTGATGATTTTACTAATGTCGTCGTTTTACATTGCTTATCTATTTATCTACAAATAACGTATGTATGTATAAATATATACACACGTATATGTAAAATATAATACACATCTCTCTCTCACCTTGAATATTTTCTTAGGAATAAAAACCAGTAAAGATTAATGGAGTAACAACAGCAAAATAAATATTTCAACAAGAGATTAAATTTCTGAATCATTACATTAAAGCAAACTGACAATTAACAAACTCATCTCAGTCATATGGGAGTCTCAGCTGCCCTGGGCATAAAAGGCTATAAACAATTCCAGTTATCTCTCATTATACTCTACATTGCTGAAAGCAGGGAGTTTAAAAAAAATGCCACGAATATACTACTGAAAGCAATGATTTGTGCATATGTAACGTATACGCAAACAAAATGTACAGTATTGCACATTACTATGGAACACTGCTCGAGCACTTTATGGCGGTTTACAACGAGACGAAGTCCCCCGTGCTCAGTGCGTGCAGTCAAATGGGATCAGGAGTACGACGACATGTGCAGCTGATGGCATGCAGGAGGTTCGTATGAGTAAGTAGGGGAGACCAGCTTTTACAAGAGGGCATATTGCTTGCTTATATTATTTAACTTCTACCTAGTGTTCTGTGCTGTCAGAGTATTTTAGTTTCAGCTCCAGAAAGGGAGTTGTCTTAAGAAATACTTCATTCCTCATAGTTTCCCTGGGTGTTTTTTTTTTGTGTGTGTGGTTTTTTTGTTTTTGTGGGTTTTTTGTTTGTTTGTTTAAAAAAATTTTTTTTATTTCTACCACCTTCGAATTTTCAGGATCCAGAACATTTCATTTTCCTCCTTTCCTAGAAATAAACTCATGTCTCCAATACACAGCAATGTTACCTGCGCTTCCTTTTCCAGAAGAGAAACTTGCCATTTAAAAGTCCTTAGCCATAACAACACCCAAATGGTATTTGTAGTAAACGAAGGAAACTGGCAGGAAGCAGAAAGAAAAAACATTTCCCTCTCATTTCCCCTGGAAATGGCAACCTTAGGAGATCCTCTTGCGAGATGCCCCAAGAGGAACGAAAGCCTTTACCCCCAGGAAATCTGGGGACAAATCTGGCGATGAAGGTCCAATAGTTTTGAGTAGAAAAGGTAGAATGGGAAGAGCGAGGCAGGTCTCCCCCAGGTGAAAACCCATCCTAACCTGTGGCGAACAAGGATGGGTCTAGAGTCTTGCCCGGGAAGCGAGCGCGATGGGAAGCAGCAAGAGGGATGCAGCAAGCACTGTGGAGGAATTCAGCTGAGAGAAGGTTGTGCTGGGGAGGAGAAGGAATGGGCAGAAACGGGCCGTTGCCTACGGTCCATGAGCATTATTTGCTCAAGTAGTGTGGGGTGTGAATGACTGCCAAAAGACCAAGACAAAATGAGACACCGGGAACTGCTTCACCTACCAGTGGAGGACGGCAGCTGTCTAACTGCCGAGAGGTGAGGCAGCAGAGTAATGTGGGACCACAAAGAGACAGCAAGGCTGACCCCAGCACGATCAGGACTTTTCACTAGGCAGAAAGGAATGTCTGGTTCGGAAGGTTGCTCAGACTCCTACCCGTCGCAGAAAACCAAAACAGCCTTCCCTGACACGGTAACCAACCACTTCTGTGAGCCTGTAAGTGCAGTAAAGTCAAATCAAGAAGGGGAAATGAGTCTCATCTCTTAGCCTGCTACCCAAATCTCTGTTATTGAAAAAACGTGCGCTTCTTGGTCAGGATCTGACAGCTACTGGATTTTGCCTGATGAAGGTTTTCAATTTATCTGCCTGTTCTTTTCCTGCAAGATTCAGAACACACGCTAAAATGATTGAGGGAGTAATAAACTATTTAGAGTGCAGTCCCATATAATCTCATTTGACCCAAGAGACAACGTTGTAATCTCTCTCTCCTGGCCCTACAAAAACCTAATAAATTTGGTGAAACACATAAATGACGTTCCACCCAAGGCAGATCTCTCTTTCAGTTCTATAATCCCTCAACAGTGACCTTTAATTGTTTCATCAATGACTTTAGTGAATGAATCTGCAAAACCCCTCCATATAGTAAATACCGTCTGCACATCTTTTAGATTAGAGGCCTTAAAAAAGGGATTTCTTTTGAAATATTTCATTATTGAAGTATTTTACTCCATATTTTTATTGCCACTGATTGTACTGCCTTTTGTCTCTCAAAGCTGAATTTTCTGAACTGGAAGGTTATTTTTTCTGCTGTGTGGCCTCCCACTGAGGATGTGAGTCCTTACAGTAATGTCTTACCTCGACTCTCCTCCAGAAAGCAATCTTTACTAGAAGGTTTCTAAGGAAGCAGATCTTTCATCTCCATCGCTGCTATCTGATGCCAGCGTCTTCTCCTTAAAGTACCACTACCGCTTAGAGGCATTTGGGAAAGAAAAGTAGGATGAAATACACTTTGCAATAAAAACCACTAAGCTACACTCCGA